CAGCGGGAGGCTAATTGCAACAGTCTTAATAGCGTGGGCAGCGAGGAGTCGAGCCTTACGTCGAGCGATGTGCCGACTGAGAGGTGAGGCATCAGGCGAATCATTTGTTAGAGTTGCGACATTACGAGAGAGTGTGCGGTCTGGGATGGTAGGACCAGATGAATCTAGATGTCGTAAAACTCGAGGTTTTATCGACTGTGGCGATTCAGATTATGATCTTTATTTAATTACTGCGCTGTGTAATACAGATTTATTTATTTGTTTATATTACATTTAACAATGTTTTTTCAGTAGCTCTGACTATACATTGAATGAGAGGATAATAGCAAATAATGAATTGGAAAGGATGTGGAAGGAGGTGGTCGTGGCCTCATTTAAGGTACTATACTGGCATTTGTGTGGAGGGACTGAAGAAAACAACAAAAAGCATCGGTCAGGATAGCGGGTCTTTGGCCATGATTGAACGTGGGACCTCCTGGATTCAAAGCAGAAGTCCTATTCGCTTGATCATGAACAGTTGTGTATTGGAGAGGAAATTTCCTAAGAGACATCTTGGCTTCATTAACCGAGTCCACAATCTAAACCCTTGCAGACTCGTCAAATACTGGGAACGACCCGTTCAAGTGCCTGAGCACTGCGGGTCCCAACTTTTCATTGGCTTCATCTATAGACATTCGGTAGGACTCCTTGGACGGGGGATCGGCCCGTCGCGAGGCCTCTGCCTGTACACAAGACAGCACAACACAGAAAGACATCCATGGCTTGAGTGGGATTTGAACCCACGGACCAAGGGGCACAAGGCCCACGCCTCAGACTGCGCGACCACTGCAAACCCGCCTCGTCAATTAACACTTTCTAATTTTGTTTGATTGCCAGAAAGAAGTTCACAGGTTTCTCTTTTAAGTTTAAAGTTGTTTTGTTTTTCTCATTTAAATTTTTCTTATGCGCCTGCATTAAAATTTGTTACTCATGTGTACGGCAATGGTGCATCTGTCTTATGTAACACTCTGTACCGTGAGAAGCGTTCAATCGTTACTTCGTCCGTTATCTAATGCTGATTTTGATAAGGTTATGTGTACTTAGTTGCGAACAGAATGATATGGAACGAGCGTTGTGAAATTGTTATTTTGGATCAAAAAGAATTCTTTGCCATGCGCACGGATGTCAGTTGGTCGCTCTGTAGTAGAGACGGATTAAAATGTCTCATCCAAAGTGTTTAAGTGAAATGTTACTAATTAAGACATTTGATAGGTTAATCAGACGTGTTCGCGTGTTCCTTAGTGCGTGATGAACCCACGAACACGTCTGCGTTGAATATTGACTGCGAGGAACGAGAGTGCACGTGGTATATTCATTTATATTTGATCACTTGCGTTTATTTCGTGTGTAAAATGGAGAGAGATATCGCTGTAGCGTGCGCTCCGGTCGTTTATTACGGGAGTTGCGCTTATGAAGCTGTGATCGAATTCTTCGAAGATATAATAGATCGGACGTGTTGCGGAACTGGTTGGGGGTAAGTTCGTGTTTCCATAACCCATTTTAATGTAAAGTATCAGAACTGGTGTTTTGCAGTTCCATTTTTTAAATGATTGTTTTGATTCATAGTTTCCGCGCTGAGTTGAGTTGAGTTGTCTTTTTATGTCGGACGTTGGCAGATGCTTTTTTGCCAAGCCTTACAATCGTGCTCTCTGTTTTCTCGTATTACAAAAGATTAAAGGAACTAGAAAAAACATTAAATAAATCTCGAGATGTCCGCTCTTGCCTGATAAAAACATGTTTTGAATCTGATCTTGTGTACAGAATAACGTCAGCGTTGGTATTCCGAGTTAGAATGCGACACGGGCCTGTAAATCAATGCTAACATTTTAGAGAGACAAGCGGCCTCTGTTCAGCCCTGAAGGTGGAGGCAGTATGTTCCTCCAGAATATTGGTGTCTGCGCACATACCGTTCTAGCCTATGAGTTCGACAGTGACATCTTCACCATTATCAGAGCCTCGGGTTTCATATTTATGGAATGATAATTATGATCAAGAACGATGGGAAAATCTAACGAAACAGCCCGTGAAAATTAAGACCATTACGTATATTTATGATTTAACGTAGTGCAAATAGTGAAGTCACCATGAAAATGCCAGAGGAGACAAATTGTTTCATTTCCATGTGCGTTAGTCCGTACATAATGTGAGCAGCCGACATTTCTTTTTATGTGTGAGACGTGTTCATTCCGATCTTTTCAGTGCGTCTAGTGACGATGCCTTACTCAGTCCGACAAATGTCGACAGTGCAGAATGCGCAGTCGGCGGCGCCACGGACCACAAGAACGAGACGGAAACGAGCGATGACGCCGCACGCCAGAATAAGGTAGGGAAACCATTTTTGTGTTGCGTATGTAAGCAGCTTCGGATGTCTGCATGAGTCTTGAGAGATGAGGTAGCTCAGCCAATGAAGTGACTGGCTTTGGGGCCCCTCGGCCTCCGGTGGGTACCCGGCCACTTTCCTGGGGTAAAGCTTGGCCCGAGCATGACGCCCCCACCTGGTGCCAAGGTCGAGAATAACGAAGCGCCTCTCCCCTAGATTGTAAATTTGGACCAGGTTCAGAATGTCTGCGACATGTAAATACTTGAACTGCTTTATCATTTGAATTATAGGGGGAAAAATTTCACTCCTTGTAACTGGAAGGGACGTGGAACTTTATCCGTGGCGATGACGACCATTTTTTCTTTTGTCAAAGAAATTGTGATTTTCTGTGTGCCGTAGCATTTCTCATATAATTGGCTCCTTGTCCCTGCAGTTCTGCAAATATAATTTTGGCGTCCGATGTCGCCGGACAGGTGGTTCGTGAGATGTCTCACTGACGGCCTCCCACCCACATCTCGCTTTGTTAACAGATTGAAATTGTACAGCTCACAGCGATGGAATTTATGATGGAATAAGAGGATTTTCTGCATGTGATATTTTTAAAAAAAAAGTTTATAAGTCTGAAATAGAAGTGACCACTGACCCTCGACATTCTCTCGTGTGTCGAGGCGGAGATTAAAAATAATCGGCACTCATCCGTCCGAGTCATTTGCTTCCAATTATCGCTGTTACCAGCCATCCCCTTCATCAGCATTACACCAAATGGCACCCTTGCTTTGTATTTGGAATGTGCTGGGTTCGTGTCTCGGTTCAGAGACTGAGGGTTTTTTTCTGTGGAAGGGGCGAGCCTTGCAGCAGTAAATGTCTTTCCATTTTTATGAAGTGATCGACAAAACTGCTTCACACCAATTAGAATATTGACTCTGATGTTGCATTACAGTTCTCACGCACTGCATACGGGGTTTCTGCAGTATGCGACAATTCCTATTTCCGTAAGGCAAATGACAAATGCGTACAAGCGTCCGAGCAACCTACATCAGGAACACGTCGAGCCAACGCAGATAACGAGAAGCAGGTGAAACTGACGCCAGCCTTTCGGTTGACGCGGCGGAAAGAGGGGGGGTCCGTTTCTCGTCCCACTGGCACAAATGTTTGAGCCTATCTGCCAAATCCGGTTTAAGAGAGTTTCAAATCGTATATTCTGCCACATTCAGACCAGACAGAACCTCTCGCGTAGAGCGTGTGGTCCACTTTTCCTCCTCTGTGTGTGTGTGCGGAGACGCAGGCGTCGTTTGCCCGAAACTTCGTAACAACGAGCAGTGTTAACGACTGTCAAACGAGTATCCTCGTTAGGTGGCAGCTGACGGTCGTTTAAGAAAGCCCCAAAGTGACGCAGGGCGTGCTATATCCTAGATAAATTTAAAAAGGCTCACCCACGCATAAAATTAAGTTTATTTCTGTCGTCGTAATGTTATGATGGCAGATGGCCCGAATTATGTATTTTAGAACGTCTCCGTGCTAACACGTATGTAAACTGTGTTCGCTTTACGTCCCAAAATAAATTCGTCGTTTAGTGTTCTTTGAGTGCGTAACCTGTGGAGAAGACAAAGACTGCAAAGCCCGACGCCAGATGGCAATCGTGGTTGTTAATTTTTAGAAAACATGTTTTCATCCTTTCATTTTGCCCCAAAATCTT